TGCTTCTTGGCACCGCTCACCTGGCCGAGGTAGAAGTAGATGAAGTGCTTCGTCTCGTGCGTCACGTACGAACCTGGGCGGGCGCAGGTTATCCACCAACCCTCATGCCTGGGGGCCAGCCAAGCGGCCGCGACGGGCGTTCATGCCCCGCGGGGCCCGCGGTTCGATCCCGGCTCGCGGAACGCCGCAGACAGACGTCCTCGGGATCTCCATCCGTGATGTCTCGCGAGCTTGTGCATATTGTTATCCAACGAAGCTTGCCTATAGGGGTCCTAGCTCATCCCCTCGAGAACTGGTCCACTCATACCCTTCCCCCTGCATGTTGCCCCCAGACGCGTCCTCTGTTGCGCATGGTTTCCTCTACTGCCCGCATCGCTTTCTATGTTTCCCCTACACGTGTCCTCTGCTGCGCATGGCTTCCTCTGCTAGCATCCTCTGTTGCGCATGGCTTCCTCTGTTGCGCATGGCTTCCTCTGCTATCCACATGGATTCCTCTGTATTCGCATGGCTTCCTCTGCTATCCGCATGGCTTCCTCTGTTTCCGGATGGCGTCCTCTGCTACTCCAGCGGCTTCCTGTGGCTATTCCAATGGCGTCCCAACAGTCGTCCCACGATCGTCAAACACATAAGTAGAGTAGTGTAGAAAAGAGTGGAACACAGTAGAGCAGAGAAGAGTAGATGGGTAGCGCAGAGCAGAATAGAGTAGAGTAGAGCAAAATAGAATTGAGCAAGGGGAGGAGAGGTGAGTATAGTGGATGGTAGGGTAACAGTAAGTAAACCGGGGCAAGCGTAGAGTAGAGTAGAGTACACTAGAGCACGGTTGGGTAGAATGGAGTAGGGTAGGGTAGAGTAGGGTAGAGCTGAGTACAGTAGAACAGAATAGGCAGTATGATAGAGTCGAGTAAGAACAGGGTACGGTAGAGCAGGGTAATGTAGAGCACAGGAGACGAGAGGACAGTACCAGGACAAAAGAATAGGAGTACAGTAGAGTAGAGAAGGGTAGAGTAGACTGTGAGTGGAGTAGGAGTAGAGTAGAAGTAATAGAGTAAGAGTAGAATATAATAGAGTAGAGTAAAGTAGGGTGGAGTAGAGTAGAGTATAATAGAGTAGAGTAGAAGTATCATAAAGCAGAGTAGAGAAGAGCAGAGTAGAGAAGAGTAGAGTAGAGAAGAGCCAAGCACAGTAGCGTAGGGTAGGGTAGAGTAGAGTAGAGTAGAGTGGGATAGGGTAAGCTAGGGTAGGGTAGAGTATGAGTAGGGTAGAGTTGGCTAGATGGTAGAGTAACGCCGGTAGGGTAGAGTACGAGCAGAGCAGAGCAGAGCAGCGAAGAGCAGAGCAGAGCAGAGCACAGCAGATTAGTGTAGAACATTGTGCGACTAGAGTAGAGTAGAGTAGAATAGAGTAGAGTAGAGTAGAGAAGAGTAGAGTAGAGTAGAGTAGAGTAGAGTAGAGTAGAGTAGGGTAGAGCAGAGTACAGAAAAGTAGAGTAGAGAGGAGAAGAGTAGAGTAGAGTAGAGCACAACAGAGCAGAGTAGAGTAGGGTAATTAGGGTAATGGTAGAGCAGAGTCGGGTAGAACCTGACTGGACAAGAACAGGAAGCGTCCCTTTTGTTCACTAGGTATGTTAAGTATGCTCTTTTGTTGGTCTGCCGCGCAAATATGTCGTGGCGTGCGTGCGTTTGCGCGTGCGCGTGCGTGCGTGGAATATGTGCATGTGTGGCCGTGCGCGGCTGGGCAGGCGGCGTTCGTCCTAAAGTGGCCAGCGCCCGCGGCGACGCCGACAGCGAGTCCCGCTCGAAGTGGGCGGGAGCTGCCATCGGTATTCGTCCCCGTTCTTTCCGTCCCCGCTTCGCTCCCCCACGACTAAGGTACCTCTCGATTCCGACGGGGCCCCTCAGGGGGTCACAAGAAGTCACGAACCTGTCCCCAGGGCCAGCTTCCCGTCCCAGGTCGTTGTCTGACGAACCCAGGGCCTGGCGAGGGTCTGTGACAGAACCCCTGCTTTGAATCTTGTAAAGACGTTCGATGTCTGGGCACCCCTTCGAGACCAGTGCTGCCCTTACAACCTGTGCCCGCTGCACGGCCTCCTGGCCTCGCCAGGGATCGGCACGCACGTCGATCCCCCGACCTGGGATCGGAGGGGCCAGCGGCTGGTGCGGGCGCACGGGGTTCGCGCCCCCAGGCGACCGAAGTTGCGGCCGACGATCGCGTGCCACGTCGGGTTGTACTTCTTGTCGAACTCCTGCTCTTCTCGTCTTGCGGAGGCCCCTGGGAGGTCCCCAGAGGCCTCTGGGAACGGTCCTACTCCCCCATCTCCCTCCCTCCATCCCTTGGGGGGGAGGGGGGCGGGAGAGGGGGAGGAGCAGGGGAAGGGAGGGAGAGGTGAAGGGGAAGGAGGGGAGGAGAGGGACAAGGACGAGGAGGATGAGGACGAGGACGCGGAGTGCGAGGGGGAGGAGGTGAAGGACACGAGGGGGAGGAGGCGCGGGAGGCAGAGGGCGGCCAGGCTCCTTCTTGATGAAGGCCGCGATGTCCTTCTCGATGTTGTACTTCTCCAGCGCCTGGGTGGCGCAGTCGATCGCGTCCTGCAGCCGCCGGCTGGCAGCAGCGGCCATGTCTGCGCCCAAGGCCACGACGACGACGACGACGACGACGACGACGACGACGACGGCGTCGACGACCACGGCGACGACGACGACGGCGGCGGCGGCGGAAGCCGCGGCGTCGACGGCGAGAGGGCACCGGACGACGAGGGCAGCGGCGACGACGACAGCGACGGTGCCTGCGACCGGTCGGCGGCGCCGCGCCCCCCCGGGGGCCAGGAGGCGAAGGGGGGCCATCGAAGGCGACGGCAGGGGGCATGGCGGGAGAGCCCAAGAGCGAGTCGAGAAGTCGGATCGGAGGTCGAAAGGAATCGTCGCATCGGCGGGAATCGGCAGCCAACGTGGGAGAAGTCAAATCGGCGGACATCGGCAGGCTAGTAAGGCCTCCATGGGGAAACCGAAATCTAGATCGGAGTCCGAAGTCGAACCGAATCATAATCGGAATCGAATCGAATGGAATCGAATCGAGTCGGAGGAATTCGAATGAGCCCTAGCATGGCCGAAGTCATGCCCACGGCTTGGGCGAGCGGAGGGGGCGCGGTGGGGTGTGGGAAGGCGGAAGACATAGGGATGGGGGAGGAGGAGGAGGAGGAGGAGGAGGAGGAGGAGGAGGAGGAGGAGGAGGAGGAGGAGGAGGAGGAGAGGAGGAGGAGGAGGAGGAGGAGAGGAGGAGGGGGAGGAGGAGGAGGAGGAGGAGGAGGAGGAGGAGGCGGAGGAGGAGGAGGTGGAGGAGGAGGAGGAGAAGGATGAAGAGGAGGAAGAGGAGGAAGAGGAGGAGGAGCAGGAAGAGGAGGAGGAGGAGGAGGAGGAGGAGGAGGCGCTTCGCCGGAGCAGGGTGGCCAAGGTCGGGGGCGCCGAGGAAACAGCGAGCGCCCACCTGCCTGGCGTGACTCCAGGGACGCAGGGGACCCGCGGTCTCCCTGACGCCGGAAGGCCTGCTGGAGCCGGCTGCCCCGGGCCTGGCTATGGCGCTGGCCTTCGGAGGAGCGTGCTACCTCCTGGGGAGGCACTACAGCCGGACCGTCGAGACAGGCGACCAGCGGAGGAGGGTCACGGAGGACGAGAAGCCCAAGGAGGAACCTGGGCGGCGTGGGAGGCGCTAGCGGAGGCTCTCCCTCGACGCGTGCGTCCAAGGACCCGTGCTCCACGTGACGCAGGGCTTCAGGCGCGGCGACGAGGTCACCCGCGTCGCCGCGCTGGAGCCTCACGGCGATCAAAGCCGCCGCCGCCGCGCCCGCAGAAATGTCAGGCAGGCCAGGCGACCGGCCTAGACCCTAGTGCCTGGGTCCCCAGACGGGGCTGGTCCCCCGCGGTAGAAGGACGGGGAGCCCGCGCCCAGCCTGCCCAAATGCCCGGGTCCCCTATGCGGGGCTGGTCCCTCGGACGCAGAGGAAGGGGCGCGCGCGCGCCCGAATGGACCCAAGTTCACGGTCCCCTGTGGGAACGTCCCCCGCCTCAGGGGAAGATGCGGCGACGCCTGGTCTGGCGAGCTCGACGGGGCCGCCCGCCAGGCGACAGGCGCCCATGCCCAGCGACGGCGAACGCACAGCCGCTGGCTGGGGATGGGCTACGCGCGGCGGGGATTTATCCGTATCCGCCGCCTGGGAACCGACGTCCTTGGGACCCAGCGGGCTGTGGATATGGATACATGTCGGCCCCTGGGGGGCCCGAATCCGCCGACCCTGTCGGCGTGTGGAAGAGGCTGCTCCGTTTGACTCGTCGTCATCATCGTCGTGAGCGCGCCAGCCACAGCGAAATTGAGCAACGTTGTAGTTGAGTCGAAAGGAAGCCCCTTCCCTTTGATCCCTTCCCCGCTGGGGGGAGGGGCCCGGGGGGGGTGGTCCCAGGGTGGGGGTCCCGGGGAGGTCCTGGGGGGGTCCCGGGGGGTCCCGGGGGGGTCCCGGGGCAGAGACGACTCCCCCTCGGGCGGTTCGGCAGCCCAGAAAAGCCGCAGGACGCGGCAAAAGTGTATGCTGAGACTCGGGAACTACTATCGTCGTCGTCGTCGCCGCCATTCCGGGTCGGCGGCACCGGCCGTGAGGCCTTCGCAAAAGATCTCCACATCCACCGCCTCCGAGGTCTCCGAAAAATCGATCCTCCGGGCGATGGTTATGAGGGTGGGGTTCCCTTCGCTCGGGAGCTCCCGAACGAAGCGAAAACCACCCTCCCCCTCAGAAATCGTTGGGGGGTAGGGGTAGGGTTCGCATGCGGCCCCCCATCGGGGCACCGGGGGGCGGTGCGCCCAGGGGGCGGCCTGGCCAGGCGTGGGGAAAACCCGCCGTGGCCCGCCCCGGGGGCGCCCGCAGGCTCCGCAGGCGCCCCCCTCCGCCGCGCCAGGCACCAGAATCGCCAGCACAACCAGCTGCCAGTCGGGCGTGTCCCCCTACAGGGCAGGTTTTCATACATAGGGTTTTTTTATATATTGGATTTGGGGCCAAACATTAGAAATAGTCACAGGATGCCCGAAACTAGTCCAAAGATGCTCAAAAAATCGTCCCCGGACTATTCTTTGACTATTTTCGGACATTCCTCCTGTAGAGGGACAGGCCCGGCTTAAGACCAGCTTTACAGGACGGCCGTGCAATCAGGAAGTCGATGCTGGTTCCAGCCCTCGCAGCTTCCTTCTCTGTGGGCGGCGCGCCGAGGAGGGGGCAAGGGGAGGGGGGGGGGAAGGCTGCTCAGGAGGAGGCTGCTCCTCGGAAGGCGTCGGCCCTGCAGCTGCAGACAAGGCCCGCGCCCTCTGAGAAGCAGCCCTCTTCTAAGAAGCCTTCTCCCCTCCCCCTCCCTCCCCTCCGCGCGCCGCCAACTTTGCACGTGGTGCAGTGCTCCCTCACCAGAGGCTAGGAGCACTGCAGAATGGAACTGAGCCTAGAGTGTGACGCCATGGAGCTCCACGACGACTTGAGATAGAGGACGGCGGAGGCCCGCTGCGCGTGGCAGAGGGGTGCTTGACGAGCGGTGCATATCCTGTGCAAAAAACACCGTCATCCTCGTCTGCTGCCGACGCCGCCTCCTCCCTCCCTCGGGCCTGCCAGTGGCCCGAGGTCGTCGCCAGTGCTTTGCTGCTGGCCGGGACAGCTGCATACTCGGGCCAGGGCCCCCACCCGATCGTCGAGGTAATGCCAGTCCTACGGGGCCTGGGGTGGCGCAGCGGCATTGTCATCTGAGCGGGCAGTCCCCACGGCCGCACGGGAGGGGCGCGAGACGCGCGGTCGCCGGTGGAGGCTGTAAACGAGACCGCGTGCTGCCGCGTGTTTTATTCATTCCTAACTGCCGTCTCCACAGGCCTCCCCCGCTTTCGGCGGCCGTGTGCACTCTTTTGGCGCCGCGAGTCTTTCCAGAGCAGGTATTAATTGTCATTGCTTCAATACCCCAGACGCCCTGGCTCCCTACCTTCCTCCCTCCTCCCTCCTCCATCCTCCCTCCTCCTCCTCCTCCTCCTCCTCCTCCTCATCCTCCTCCTCCTCCTCCTCCTCCTCCTCCTCCTCCTCCTCCTCCTCCTCCTCATCGAAGCGAACCCACTCCCTCCTTCCCTCCCTCCCTCCCTCCCTCCCTCCCCCCCTCGGGGGGGGAAATGGAAGGGGGGAGGAGGAGTAGGGGGGGGAGAAGGGGGAGGAGAAGGGGGAGGAGGAGGAGGAGGAGGAGGAGGAGGAGGAGGAGGAGGAGGAGGAGAAGGAGGAGGAGGAGGAGGAGGCGGAGGCGGAGGACGACGACCAGTGCAAACCCAAGACACATCAACGATGTTGCATTAAACCCTTCCTCCAAGTTCCCTCTTCATAGGTCCCTACACACACGCACACAAAAAAACAAAACAAAACTTCATTGCGGGAAGTGCCTCATTGCAAGACAACTGTCTGAGAATCTTCAATCGTGCCAGAACACGATTCCTGGGACTTCAGCTCCGCGAGTCAACGTGACTGTTGCGTCTTGACATTCATGCATCGCGCCAAACCACAATCCTTGGGGCTTCATCAACGTGAGCACTACGTCCTGACAATTCTAATTCGTACCAGAATACCACTCCTGGGACCTCAACAATATGAACCCGTGAAACGGCTGCAAACATTCACGACGAAATTTCCGCGGCGCTAAAGCGAGAGCTACATTGTGAACAACAAACTCAATATGTGGAACTGATGACAACTGTCAAGACGAATGCGCGCGGCTAAAAGGCAACCCGCACTCCATCCGCGAAACTGCTGTAATCCTTTTAAGGCGAATGCGCGCGGCGCCAAGGCGAGAGCCACATTTCGGAGACGGCCCGCCCTGCATCCGAGAAGCTGTTGCAAACATTGAAAACCAATGTGCGCGGCTCTGTGGCGAGAGCCACATTTTGGAAAAGAACCGACCTCCATCCACGAAGCCGCTGGAAACTCGTATGACGAATGTGAGCGGCGCTATGGTGAGAGCCACATTTTGAAAGAAGCCCGTCCTACATCCGCGAGACTGCTGAAAACGTTCAAACGAATGTGCGCGACGTGATGGGGAGCTCCACATTTTGAAAACGGCCTGCCCTCCATCCGTGAAACTGCAGCAAAGTTGAAGCTTCGCGGTCATACATGAGGAAGTCTCAGGCGAAACGCCCGGCCCGCCCTACCCAAACGCCTGGGAGTGCGACAGAGAGGAGCATCTACAAGTAAATAGGATGGAGGACGACGACGACAGGGAGGACGAGGAGGACGACGAGGAGATGGAGAATGAGAAGGACGAGGAGGAGAAGGAGGAGGAGGAGCAGGACGAAGTCGAGGAAGAGAAGGAAGAGGAAGACCTTCATCCCCCGCCCAAAAGGCCCCGGAACCGACGCGGCCGGCCGCCCGCGGGGAGCGCACGTCCTGCTGCATGTCCTCGGCCATGTCCGCATTCTTGATGACCGCCTTACGGTCCGCCATGATCGCCTCTTCCGGCGGGGCACAAGCTCGCCGAGCCACCCTCCCTCCCTCCCTCCTACCTTCTCATTACTCGCCCTGATCCCTCCCCCTCCCCCTTCCCCCTCCTCCTCCTCCTCCTCATCATCCTCATCATCCTCATCATCCTCATCATCCTCCTCCTCCTCCTCCTCCTCATCATCATCATCATCATCATCATCATCAGCATCATCATCAGCAGCAGCATCAGCATCATCAGCATCATCATCAACAATCATATGCATCAGCATCAGCATCATCAGCATCAGCATCAGCATCAGCATCAGCATCAGCACCATCATCAGCAGCATCATCATTGTCATCATCATCATCATCATCATCATCCTCATCGTCATCATCATCAGCATTATCATCATAATCATCGTCGTCATCAGCATCATCAGCATCATCATCAACATCCTCGTGGTCAGCAGCAGCATTATCGTCATCATCACTCCATCCTTATCATCAGCAATATCAGCAGCATCAGCATCTGCATCACCACCACCACCATAATCACAAGCATCATTCATCATAATCGTCATTATAATCACCATCATCAGCATCAGTATCATCAGCATCATCCTCAGCATAAGAATCAGCAGCATCATCAGCATCATCCTCATCATCAGCATCATCATCCTTATCGTCATCATCAGCATTATCGTCAACAACAGCATCGTCGTCATCATCGCCATCATCGTGTTCAACATCATGATCAACAGATCCATCATGATCACCATCTGCATCATTATCATCATCATCATCATCATCATCATCAGCAGAAGCAGCATCAGCATCAGCACGAGCAGCAACATCGTCATCATCGTCAATGTCGCCATCATCCTGCTAATCGTAATAACCATCGTTGTCAGCATAATCATAACCATAACCAGCATCATCAGCATCATCATCTGCAGCATCATCATCACCATAATCGTCATCATTATCATAATCATCATCATCATCATCATCATCATCATCAGCATTATCATCAGAATCATCATCATCATCAGTAGCATTATCAGTATCATCAGCATTGTAATCATCATCAGCAGCAGCAGCAGACTCATCATCAGCAGCAGCATCATCATCAGCCATCTCCTCATCATCAGCATCAGAATCAGCAGTAGCATCGTCATTATCAGCAGCAGCAGCAAATACATAGATCCTCATCATCAACAACACCAGCAACAAGGATAATAGCAGCATCATCAGCAACCGCGGCGGCAGCGTCCGCATCATCAGCACCATCATCATCAGGAGCATCATCATCGTCTCTCCTTTCCTCTCCTCCTCCTGGCTTCCTCCTCCTCATCCTCCACCTCATCGTCATCATCGTTCACCAACACACTCCTGTCCATCACATCCCTTCCTCAATTTTCCTCAGGTCCATCAGACAGTTTCTTGGGCGTTCCGCACGAACAAATGGCGAAACCTGCGCCAAAGACAGGCCCCGTCGCCTACATCCAGGGCTTGCCACAGGTGTTCCTAGCCCCCAGCCGTTCGCTCTAGTTTGGAGCCCCTGGTGCCCTCTGGGCCTCGTGTGAGGTGCGCTGGAAGCCATCCAGTCCTCCCAGAAATCCTGGGGGCACCCTGGGCCCAAGGACACATTTCAGCAACACCCGAGGCCCGAGGGTCCTCCAGCTAGAACATCGACCCCAAGCGCTCGGCCATTGACCCCTTGCTGCCAATTGGCCACAAGTGCAATATTCCGCGGTTTCGAGAGGTCTCTCTCGGTGTCATGAGACCACACACATTCAATACCCTCAAACCTCCCTCAAGCCGTGAATCCGTCGGAGATCATCGATGATCTCTGCCGGCTTCTGGCGGCAGGACGACGACCGCGTCCCTCCGGAGCTCCAACATTGAGTTGAGCACCCAGCGAAGTCGAGGCCCGCATCATCGGTCAAGGAATGGCTTGGCCAAGATCGGGAGGGTGGGTGGATCCTCGCCGAAGATATCCACCAGCCTATCAGAATCTCAGCAAGCATGAAGAGATATTCGAAAACACCCAAGTGGTACCAGAGAAAAGACCCAAGCATAATCTTTCTTGGGGTTATGGGGTTATGGGACTATGGGGCTGTAGGGCTATAGGGTTATAGGCATATAACGCTATGCGGCTACAGGCCCACAGGCCTAAAGGGCTATAGGGTTGTAGGCCTATAGGGCTATAGGGCCATAGGGCTATAAGGCTATAAGGCTATAGGGCCATAGGGCTACAGGGCTGCAGGGCCAGAGGGATATAGGGCTATGTGGCTCTGGGCTATAAGGCTAGAAGGTTAAAGGGCTATAGGGCTATAGGGCCAGAAGGCTATAGAGCTATAAAGCAACCGGGCACCCGGACACCCAGGGCACCTGGGCACTCGGGCACCCGGGAAATCGGCCGCGAACCTAACACCCGGGCACCCCAGCACCCAGGCACCCAGGAAATCGGCGGCGAACCGCACCTAACCTTATGAATCCGGTGGGACCCCTACAGAGGCAAGCTCTGATTCGGGAATGGACCAAAAAACGAACGACACCATCCTACCTGCGGCCCCAAGGGTCTTAGCGCATACCAGAGAATCTGGCGTGGGCTTTGCGTGGTATAAGTTACGGCCCCCGATGGGCCGTAGCGCAACATGGAAGGGCGCGGGCGGGGTGGCGTCTTTCGTTTTTTGGTCAACCAAATACAGGCAATGTATCTTCCGAACGCCACTTCGAAAACATGCGACAAACCGCTGGACGACCGCACAGGGATCAGGACATATCAGACAGCATGACGGGGCAACCGAACACATGGAAAATCACCCGGCAAACCACCCGATTCAATCGAAAATCTCAACACATCCGCGAAGACATCCAAAAGCCTCCGACGCCATCTGGAGACACCCAAACTCCTGGTCCGGCACTGGTACTGGCACGTCAAAAACAGCATGGCGCGTGGATTTAACTGGGCACAGGCGAGGACGACTGCGCCTGAATCTATGGAATACTGCGCACACCATGCTCGAAACTGTGCTGAGAATGCCTCGCTGCGTGCTGAGCTGCAGCCATGCTACCGAACAGGCGCTGATATATTCGCGTCATGTCGACGGCAAACTCCTCGCGGGGCCTGCCAACCCTCCTCGTTGAAACGGCCGCCAAGGAGGCCAGGGAGCCGGCGGCGAACGCACGCGTCCTGAGAAAGTGACGAACATCTGCTCGTAATGCATGACCAAATAACAACGCCTGCCAGCTGAGCAATTGCCGGCTCGCCAGAGCGTGATTCACCCAGGTCAACGCGCCCAAATTTGACGCGCGTGAGATCCATGACAAGCGGACACCGATGATCTGCCAGACGCATCTGTTCCGGACTTCGCCCAGCCACCGCAACTGCGACTTGATCGAGCACGACCCGACAAGGCCGCGCAGATGGTTGGACTCCACAATGGAGCCATAGCTGCGCGGCTTCCGTGGTCAGGTTAGAAAGAATGCGATCAGATTATCCGCAGCGCGGTCAAATTCCGCTCGGTCCCTAACGGTTATGTCCAGCTCGCGCCCCATGTCTGCATCGGCCGAAAGGCGTGCTCGGGGGAACTGCAAATGCTGCGCCTGCTGGGGCGGCGCGCCGCCCAGGGCCAACTTGCCCACTCTTGACCGCGCTGCGAGACCTTGAGATTCACCCCCACGCAGCTCCACGCCGCATCCTCTGCCCGCACAGTCGACTGCGCGCAGATGCTCGTTCAGGCGCGCTTCGCCCGACCCGATGGGGAGCGCATCGCCTGCGAGGATGCAATCGGATAAGTCGCCGCCCTCGCACGCCCCCTCGACAAGGCCGGCGAGCAACGAGACGGCATCGCGTAGGAAAACGGCCAACACAAAGACAAACAACGGAGGGCCGAGAGCGCACCATTGCGATCCCCAAAAAACGCGGCCTTCAATCCGACTGATTTTTACGCTCTAGAACCACGAACAGTCTCTGCACCGTCGTCGCGTCAACCATTTCCCGGACGTCGGACGGAACGCTCAGTCTCAGCATCGCTTTCCATGAAGCTCTCGACGCGCATACGGTCGAAAACTTGCTTCGGAACAATAACAACCAGGGTGACAGACAGCTCCTCCTCTTTCGCCTCGGCCATTTCATGTGCCCCCGGGCGACGTAGACGGCGCGACGCGCGCTGCTCCCCGCACGGAATCTAAATTCAGATGCCCAGAGTCTCTCGCCCGCGCCAGCGCCCATGAGTCCTTCATTGAGCACGGCCGAGAACTCCCCCATGGCAACGCACTGCAACGACACTGGCCGGTAGACGTCGCAGTTCACGGGGTCGCCTTTTTTGGAACAGTTACCTGCCGCGGGATTCATGCCAATCTTCTGGCAACGATCTCTCTGCACACGCCATGGCGCACACGCCCAGCAACAATTGCCACTGTCGCGGCTCGGCAACACAAACTTTACACACCTCTACTACGACGCCGTCTCGCTCGCAGCGGGGCCCCGCGGATTTCCGCGCGAGTGGAACTGCCCTAGTTCACGCGCAGCGGCGGGCGGATCGAATCCTCTCGTCGGGCGCGGGGGTAGGCAGGCGAACGCATCACTGGATGCTGCCGAGGTGCTCGGCGAGGGTCTCCGCGCGCTCGTCGGTCGCCACTGGCGCGCCTCTCGTTATGGAGTGAGTCTGCCCCGTGGTCGGCCCTTGCGCCTCGAAAACTCTCCGACGCAACCCCAGTCCCTATCGCCCGCCAGGTTCCCGCGCCACGTGGCGCGATCTTGCTTGGCGGCCTCCTCTACGGATGATTTCAATCGCAGCTCGGCGCCCCACTCGCCAGCTGCTCGCGCGCGCCCGCGTCGAGCATCGAGTGCATGAGTGCGCCGGGATATGCAGTGGTCGCCCGGCCTGCGCCCGCGCCCGTGACCGCGGCGTCAACGGCGGCCGCGACGGACGCAGAGGCTGCTTCCCATCTCTGCGCCAAAGTAAGCACAGCTGCGGGTTCATCTACTCGTCCCCGAATTTCTCCCGCAACCGCAAGCGCGCGTCTCCACGGCGGCGCGCGGAGAGCTGCCCAGCTTTTGCGCTGGCTTGACGCGCGAGCCTCTGCCCTCGTCGGCGCGCCCGCTACAACGGCGGCACGCACTGGGAAATTCCGAGAAGCCAGCGTCGCCGATGCATCGCTTCTGACATATATCACGTTTCTCTCCCGAGCTGCAGACGCATCTAAATAGTCCATTACATTGTGGCCGACGTCCGCAATGCGGCCGCCAGGTCGCACTGCTGGTTCGCGGTGGGTCGCCGCGTGCTGCGCGGGGCGCCGGAACAGCGCGTTCGCCACAAGCAGCTCCAGCGCGCGCGCAACTCAGCGAACAAATCCCGGTCGGGGGGGTCGACCTTCATCACCGTTGCACGACCAAACGTGCGCTCGCCAATGCCCCCCTCGCCGGCGCGCCACTGGCCCAGTCGGGCGTTCCAGACTGGAAAGATATATCTAGGCCCCTACTGCGATAAGCCCGCAGCGCGTCGCAGCAGCGGGTCTTTTTTTTACCAAAAAAAAAAAAAAAAAAAAAAAAAACTTTTCTGTAGGTATATCTTTGCGCGGGGCATAAACAGTACACAGCGCAGGCCGCCCTCCAACTGTCCAGATCTCCATCGCAGCGACGCGGCTGCCCAGCTGCCAATAATCACATATTCTATTCTTCACGCGCAGGCATATTCACGAACAGCCCTAGCATTGCCCGAGAGAATCACAGAGAAATCCTCGTCTGTGTCATAATGGTGGGAATTCGGCCGGCGCGTCTCCTGCACTCACATTATGTCGATACCACTTGCGCGCATGCATCTGCTAATCTCGCCCTCAATCCCTCAATATCCCACGTACACATATTTGCAAAAGATCATCAAAATTGTCAAAACTGTGGAGGCCCGAATCTTCGTACAGGTCTGCCTGCGCGTCGGGGAATCTCTCAGAGAAATCTCCTGCGGACTGCAACTGCTCCCATGTTTGCCAGTCCTTGTCGACCCAAGTCCAGGTCATCTTGTAGTCTTTGACATCCACTGCAAACGCGCGGGCGGCTGCCCGGCTGGGCCGCCCGCGCTAGGGGGGCGTCGGTGCGTCGGGGGACATAGCCGAAGAATTCACAGTTTGCACGCGGCGAGGACGACGGCACGCCACGGGAGGCGAGAACTCTGAGCCCCCCGACAGAAAAGATCAGGGATGGGGGGGGAATCAAAGCGGGCGCGACTGGACCCAACATGGCCACTTCAGGCGCGCGCCCCGCTGCACGTCCACACCGCCCGCAGTCATTTTTCCCCCCGCTCACAAGTGAACTATGCTGAACAAGCGCGGGAGGCCGCCCGGTCTAGCAGCCCGCGCCAGGGGGGCGGCGGCGCGTCGGGAGACATAGCCGAGGAGATAACTTGTCCCACGTGGCGAGAACGATTGCACGTCACGGGGCACGAGAACTCTAAGCCCCCATCTCACAACCGCGGTGGCAAGTTGCCCTCGCCCGCAGGGCTGCCCGCCTTTTATGCAAGCCCCTCACCTCTGGAAAAAGACGCTCGCAGAGGTGCTTGTCGATACCAGGCATCGCGCGGGCCCGGGCCGCATTCACGCCAGCACCGAACTGCCAGAAATAGATTGCGATCCCAGCGCGCGCCTCCGGCAGACCCGACTCGGCCCCCAGAACCGCGCGCGCGACGAAGCCCTCGACGCCGACGTGGTTCTTCACGGTGTTCTGCATGAGCTCAACGCCCTCCAATGGGGAGGCCCCGATTTCCCGCTCAACCAGTTCCCGCAAGGAGGGCGACGTTGCCGCGTCCTCCGCGCCTGAAGACGGAACACCCCGGTGCTGCGCACCTCCGACAGCTGCAGCCGCGCTGCCAGCACTGCCGCCTTCAAGGTGCCCAGCCGCTCCCGAAGGGGTGCGAGTGCCACGTCCACGACGTCCGAGTCCACGGGGGGTTCTGCCAGCGAACCAATGGGGGGGGCGCAACCCGCCACGGCGGCCAGCACACCACCGTCGCCCCGAGGGGCGGCGCGCGCCCAGCGGCGCTGCAGGCAAGCTGCGGCGCCGACGCCTCCTCACCCGCTGGCGGGCGAGCCGCGCATGATGCTCTCGCAGCCCACGAATGCGATGACACAAGGATGGCCTTCCGCACGTACTCCAGCACAACCGCTGAGCCCCAGCGACCCAAGAGCTGAATGATCCAGATATCAAGTCCTGCCCTCGCAAGGGACTGCGCGCCCCCAGCGCGCAAGCTGTGACCAGACCACAAAGGCCAACCGTCCGCCGACGTAGCTGGCAAGCCCAGGCGGCGCGCAGCTTCCCGGAAGGAAGACCGTCGGATATCATCTCAACGAGCTCTCCTGCGGACTGTAGCTGCTCCCATGTTTTCTAATCGTTGCCGACCCAAGTCACCGTCATCTTGTAGTCTTTGACCTCCACGTTAGCGACCATACTTCCGGCGACGGTGCGCGTAAGCCCGTCGACGTCGACTTTCACTCATCCCTTGCAGTAGCCCCAGGTGGCCGACAGGCGGCGCAGTCTGAAGAGGACGCTGTGATTGATGCGGACGTCGGTTGGAAGGTTCGGTTCTGCCTAAACGGTGGCCTGGGCATCCTTGGGTTGAGTCTTTGTGAACGCGTCGGCTCCGTCCAGAATCTTCTGGCGAGCAAAATTGGAAATGAAGATGAAGAGAAAGACGTTTTGAACTTGCTCTTGCATAACGGATCGCGGGCCCGAGGCGGAGTAAAATCGTTGTTACGTCATAGTGAAACGGCCCACTCCGTAGCAGATTCGACGGAAGTCGGATTTGGCACGTTGCCAACGATAGCAGCACAAGTAGATGAAACTCTAGTCGAGGCTACCTCTCGTGGAGAGGAACAGCGTGAAACTGTATCCAACTCTCGTCTCACCTTGCATACGACGTTCTCACCTCTATTGAATGACGGTTGTCCGTTGAGCTTACGTATACAGTACATGGTCATCCATGCTGCTGATGCTCAGGCTCGCATCGAAGAAGACTGCTTGGCAGCAACGGCCATGTCCTTAGCCTCCTGAGCAATCATGTTTGTTATCCTGTTGTCTTCCGACATGGTCTTCATGTCTGTTTTGATGGACTTCATGCCATTCACATCGTCGTCATCATCTTGAGCATTGACGCCTCATCATCTTTCTCCATTTGACCTGCATTGTTACCTGCATCCATCGCTCGTGTGCCCAAGTCATCGCCCATCGAATTCAAAGGCGAGTCGATACGATATTGTTTTTCCTTCGAGTCGGCCAGGGTGCCGATCTCATAGCCTTTCATGGTGTGAACCGTCAAATACCCTCGGTCAAACTCCTTGTCGGCGGCCCACAAAACGGTTGGGGGCGAGGGATGGCGCCCTTCTGAGAACGCAGGGGGGATTAAATGTTTTGATGGTCGGCGGCGGTAGGACGATCGCACCGCGGTCACAGCGGCAAACGGGCTACCGAGACGCGAATTTGGCTCAAGGAGATGCGCGGAGGAAGAAAAGAAGAGGCTCAGCGAAGGGGAGAGGAGGGCACACTCAGAACACAGGGGCTTCTGAGAAGAGGCTGCAGGTTTCTGAGAAGCCTTCTTGAGAAGTGCAGGACTTCTTCTTAGAATCCCCCTGCCTTGATTGAAGGCCGCCTCCCCCGAGTAAGGCGAAAGCAGAGTGAGGACAAATACGGAGGAGAACATATCGGGGATCTCTCAGAGCTGGCGCGTCTGGAAAACGCATCTGGCGCCGAGCCCGTTACAGAGCGCCGTGGAACGCTCTGGAACCCACTCATCCCCACCCCAGGGTCTGCCTGACTCCATCCGTTTCCGCCTCAACTCGGCGGCGCGCACAAGGGGGTATGGGGGAGGGGGGAAGTCTTCTAAGAAGCAACCCTAACCCTGCCTCAGGTCGGGCAAGTCCTCCTACAGGCGGATTTTGAAAGAAAAACAAAAAACAGTCAAACAAGAATCAAAAATAGTCCAAAGAGCACGGAAAATCCTCACCTGATTATTTGGTTGGTTATTCTCGAACATCCTCCTGCAGCGGGACATGCCCGACTTAACCCCAACCCCCTCTGCGCGTGGCTGACCAGCCGAATCTCCAGACCCCTCGCAGGATCCCCGCCGACCAGCTCGTCGAGCCGCCTCCGGCCGCGGCCCCTGGGGCCCTGGGGGCCCTCCTGGGAGCCCAGGCACCCCCAAAACGCCCTCCAGCCCGTCCCCATCTGATGGGCCTGTTTTCCATCACCACCACCATAAGTTGGAGGGGGGAAGGAGGAGGACGAGGAGGAGGAGGACGAGGAGGAGGAGGAGGAGGAGCAGGACCCCCTCCCCCTCCAACTTATGGTG